TTTATATAACTTTCTCAATATTTTTATGTATTTTTCATTAGTTTTACCTTTGAATATTGTTTAAGAATGACTATATAAATATTTACATGCCTAGAAATGTATAAAAATTAGCATATTTATTAACTTTGAACCCCCATAACTTTTTATGGGGGTGAGATCGCCACGAACTTTTTATGGTACAGTGGTGGGGGAGACCTTTTGGCGGTGGGGGGGGGGCATCAACTAGACCTTTACCATATAAAGATTATTAAAGAAATCTAGCAAAGCAAACTGAAAATTTCAAGTACAAAAAATGTTTTGTTCTAAGGAAAAGAATATATTAAAGTTGCTTCAAATAGTTTAATTCATAAATCCACCGAAAGTAATCATTTTTCGTTTAGTCTTGTGTATTTGATCTTGGTCTTGTTCGTTCGGTATTGGTCTTGGTTGTCTAAAGACAGTCGCATTTTCGTAAGACCAAGACCAAGACCAACGGAGAGAAGAAGAGAAAAGGAGAAAAAATATCGAAAATTGAATATACGATTATTTTTGAACAGACCTCGTATGAGTACTTCCCACTACGATTCTGTTAAAAAAACGAACGACATTTTTTGTCATTGCTTAGTAGAATTCCGATATCTTTCCAAAAACACCTCACTTAACTACATTTCAGATAGCAGTTACCCGTCGTTGATGTGATAAATAGAGTTAGGATTTTATGTAAAAGACACCTTTTTAAATGAGGTTTTCTCAACTGATAAGTTGGCAAGTGAAATTTACCTGGAAATTGTTAAGTGTTCATTATCGCTTAACGTGCTTGTTATCGACGCTTGGTTATTGCCCCTTGTTTGGGTATATAGTATTTACTAATAATCATTTAACGTTTTGGACTGGGAACGTTTTCTTTACAAAAATACTTTTATTTGAGTGCAGTTTAGACAATAGATATTTCAGGTTGTCCAGACCTTCGTCCGTTTACGTGTTTACGGTAAGAGTCAATTTTTCGATGTAAGGTTCCAAAACGTCCTGCCTACTAAAACAGCTTAGCTAGCAAATTGATTAAATATATGAAATCCTGTGACATTTATACTGGTGGTTGCTGTTGTTACTTCTCGTAGTTTAGTGGTAGAACATTGGTGCGTAAAGCCAAAGGTACCGGGTTCGATTCCCGGCGGGGGTATGACAACAGCAACAATTTTTCCCTCATTTGAGGTAGTTTGTAGTGCGTAAATAAAAAATCGAAAAAAATGATTTCAAATTTATATAGCAAATTGATATACAGTAGAACCTCTATAAATCGAACATCAAGGGAGATGTCAAAAATTCGAGTTATAGAGTTTTCGACTTATGAAGGATTCTGACTTGACTAAATTCTTTAAGTGGTAATACTATTTATTCTATACTCCTAAATTGTTTTCTAAGAAACAATGGTGTACATACATTATCGGCAAATCCTTTAAGTCGATAACTTAGTTTTCTTCGAGTTAAAGACGTAATAAGTTTCAAATTACCGAGTTGTAAAGGTTGTACAATATGTAAAACATTGCCATGTTCGAGATACAGAGATCCAATTTAATTTTTCGAATTATAGAGGGAAAATATGTACTAACATGGCTTGCACGGCCTCACTGATTATTTTGACTAATAGAGGGTTGAGATTTCCAGTAATGAATGAATAATTGGGGCTTGAAGGGAAGGGAACAAAACATATATGTATGTAACTCCACATTCTATAATTTTTCCTAAAATTTCAAGTAAATTTTTAATAAACAACACCTGTAAAAACAGTGCAATGATGATAATTTGGCACTCCACTGAGCGTGCCGCCCGCGATCGGTGTACGCCCTCTTACGGCGGGCCTGTTAATTAGTAGTTTAGTTGTATTAATTGCCTTCCGACAAGGCAAAGGTGAACCTAGATTTAACCAAAAAGCCTATAGTGAGTTGTAATCTTATATTTCCGGGAATAAAAGCATCTAGAACTAATTTTAAAAAAATAGTAACTATTTTTAAGACTAATCTATAATATAAAAATGAATCGCAAAATGTGTTGGTAAGCGCATAACTCAACAACGCCTGGACCAATTTGGCCAAATCTTTTTTTAAAATGTTCGTTGAAGTTCAAGGATGGTTTTTACAGCGAGAAAAATTAGAATTATTGCTGGAAAAACCCTAAAAATAGCCCTTTTCTTTTTCCCATACAAATGATTACTAATCAAGATGATGTAGTCAACTATCCACCGGAATTTTTAAACTCGCTGGATTTGCCAGGATTGCCACCTCACAATCTTCAATTAAAGGTTGGATCGGTGGTTATAATGTTGCGAAATATCAACCAACCGCGTCTTTGCAACGGTACACGGTTAGCGATAAAAAAATTACTAAACAATGTGATAGAAGCAACTATACTCAAAGGAAAGTATAAAGGAGAAGATGTTCTCATACCGCGCATCCCAATGATTCCGACTGATGTGCCATTTGAGTTTAAACGACTACAGTTTCCAGTGCGGCTTGCTTTTGCTATGACTATAAACAAGTCCCAGGGGCAATCATTAAGTGTTTGTGGTATTAATCTAGAAAACCCATGTTTCTCACATGGTCAATTGTATGTTGCCTGTTCCCGTGTTGGAAAACCAACAGATTTGTTTATCTATGCGCCAGGTAATCAAACAAAAAACATCGTATACCACAAAGCACTACAATAATAATAATAATAATAATCTCTCGCTGGATGGCTGGATCAAGGGCCAGATACAGAAGGCGGTAATCCTGGACACGGCGCGCATTGTCAGGAGGTTCCTCTCTCTGCGGCCCTAACCGCCGGTAGCTTGGGCCCTGCCCCGTTGCTGGCGGCACCCTAGGTTAGGTTTTTTATACTGTGTTTATATTTTGTACTGTATTTTTTATTTTACTTTTTATATGCATTTTATAAAAAACCTAGCCTAAGATCTAAAGTAAATAAAGGAGATAATAATGAACATTCAATGTCATCATATGTCATTTCATTTTAGCAGCGATAATTATTCTGTTTAAATAAGTTTAAAATCCCCGGTCGAAGACGGGGCGAGCAGCTCGTTTATGTATAAATGCGATTTAAGTTGATTTTTGTTGTATTGCTACCCTTTATAGGTATGATTTCCAGTGAGCAAAATTAATCAAAAATAAAGTGCGTATTAAAAAATGCATAAATGGTATAAACCAAGTATATATTTTACATATTTTTGAGAAATAAATGACATATTTAAACCATCTCTTGTACATAAAAATCCCAACTCTAGTGATAACCATTTCATACCGCTTATAACTAAACAAATAGGATTCTAATAAAAAAACTAAGAACATATCGCTCTTAGAATTTTGTTATCTTTCACACTTGAACCCTTTCGAATTCGATTTTCGCAAAATTCGTGCTTAGTGCGGTCCTATGCAATAGAAGATGCTCTCAAATCAACCCAGTTGTTTTCAGCGATATTTGAGGTAAATCAGAAAACCTGGTACTGTTGTAACAAAAAAGCTGGTATTTTCAATGCAACATTGGTATGTTTACAAAATACAAAATATCCTGAATATTAGTTACTTAAGAATAGTTTTCCAATAAAATAAATTTGGATATAATATACAATATAGTACCATTCAATAAGTAAATAATTAATCAACGATAAAATAAATGGTACCCTTCAAGCTCTTTTTAAATTAACCGTCTATGAAGTTTTCCAGTTCTTATCGATTGAGCTATTACTATGAAATTTACTTATTATGTGAACGGTAAAGAAGCACAACACATCGGCGCATATGCCTTAATCTTTCAACGGATTTGACATTTTCACTTTCAAATTGAAAGTATCTGAAAATAGTGAGAAATAAGAAAAAAAAATTAATTATTATTATTTGATTCCATGCTAGATGGCAGAACTTGGTATGTTTACATACGAAGACAGTAGTGCCTTGGTACATGGTACAAATCTTGAAAAACCAGTACATATACCAAGAAGTTGGTATATCTAACATCGCTGGTTGTTTTGGCTGTGCGTTGAGCATCGTTTAGTCAGTCAGTCAGTCATTCAGGACTAGCTTCATTATTAAAGGAGATTAAAAAAAGTTTCATTTGGTTTTGTCTTTTAAATATCAAAATTAAATTTGATCAATTTAGGTACATAGTTATTATAGTTAAGGCAATTTAAAAGAGTAATGTAAAATAAAAAAATTGTCGTGGTAATTTGTCGAAAAAAAAAAAAAAAATTAAGTGCCTACGAATCGTCAAAATTTCTTGAAAATTCTAAATTCCTTGCGCATACCAAGAAAAAATACTCACAGAAATATTGTTCGTTAAATGTAAACAAAACAACTAACTAACTATGTATAACAACCCTTAAGAAGTTTTTATGGAAAAGTTGTAATATTAAAAACTATTTGTATNAAAATAATTTATTTACCAATAAAAGCCTCGGTTGATCTGGTCATTGTAAATTATAGATGAAAATCAAATAGCGAAATTGTCTACGCACAACTTTTCACACACTCGAAACTGTAGCGCTTCGATAGCGTTTGTGAAATGCGAGATGTCCGAATTCGAATTCGCTTTTATATTGTTTATAGGAGCAGGGACGTAGCCAGATTTTATTTTTGCATGGACGAAAAGTGGATCACACAGTTGTACATTTTAATTTAAATACAACCCATTAAAGCTTCAGTTTCTTGTTATTATTAAGCAGGAAAAGTAATCATGCCTGCTGCCGCAAATTTATTTCAACCCTTAAGAATTATACAACTTTCCACCACCCCTCTGCCTGGAAGTGAAGTTTTCTTGGATAGGTAAGTAATTTAGCATGTTCATCAAGAGAAAAGAAAACATTTTTTCACTTAAAATCAGTCATAAATGTTCATTATTAATTTTGTAATTCCACTGACGTTTCGCTTTCCGATCTAAATATTTTCATGGTAGATTATTTAGTTAATGAGTTATTATATTAGGAGTCATTTGAATTTTCCTTTTTCTTATACAATCACCTATGAACTTATTTGCTACGCTATATCAAGAACTTATACTACACAAAATCACAAACGTTGCACAATTTTGAATTAAGTAAAGTGTTAATGGTTGATGTGGATTCAGCGTTAAATTTTGTTTTAATATTCAGGGTGGGTCAACACAAGGGCCAGAATTTTCAATGTAACGACCTTAGTCCACCCTAGTCCCCCCATAGCTACGTCCCTATGTGAATCTATGCGTATGAAGGGGTCTATAATTTTTGATGTTTGCAAAAATTTGTATAGCTAACTGTATGAGACACGAAAAATAAATAAATAAATAAATGGCACATCCTTGATCCTTTTTGGAAAAAAATTATTGTTTTATTTAGAAACTTTATGTCGTCTTTTACTTTAGAGTTACAAACAAAAGCTTTTTGGATCGCATCAGCGCGTCGCAGACAGCTCCGACAGAACACAGACCAACTTTTACCTGCTGTCTTAACAGTGCGTTTTAGGAAATGCCACAAATGGCGCGGTAAACCCGACGTGCGACGCGCTGATGAGATCCAAAAAGTTCGAAATCGCGATTCGCATCTGACAGTTTCGACAGACAGACCACTTTGAATTATTTTATTTTATTATATTATGGTTGTTTATAAAATTAGAAAAAATTGACTTTCCCGTTCTTTAGGCACTTTTTTATATTGAATACAGTGGCGTCGGAAAAATTAAAACAAAATGTGTACTTTCGAGTTTTAACATACTCTTCCTCTATGTATAAGCCATTAATAACAGAAATGTTATTTTCGTGGTTTGCCTTTTGCATTTTTTATGTTGGTTGGTTTGTGGGGGTGTTACCTATCTATTGAATGATCACGCGTTCGCCATTTTTTAATCTGCGTGATACTGATTTCCATTTTCATAATTAACATTTTGTTTTAAGCCTACATGAATTATTTTACGAAAACTGCGAAAAATATGCAAATCGAAAGCTCTATACAAACTAATAGCAATTCTAGCATATTGCTTCGAAACATATATTTCCATATCCACAAAGAAAACAATAAATAAAACGGAAACGTTATCAATCATGAGTTTTTTAATCAGACAAATAATTGTTAATAATAATTAACACAACTTCAATTAAAGTAAATATTCAAACTGATAACCGTTAATCTCTGTTAATCTTAATAACTAATAAATAAAAAATGAGTTATGTAACAGTTTTAATTGATGCTACGATATTATTTATTATTATTAAAAGGACACTACCGTGATTATAGTATACTGCAAAATCAAATGTACCCATCGGAATTTTTGAAAGCCCCCAGTAGCCATTAACCCTTCCACATCGCAGTCTTCTCATTGGACAATTACCCTGCCTTGTTTTTGAGATGATAATCTTATATGTGCTTTATACAGTAATGAAATTGTTTGTTTTTTCCTAATTTCCTAGTTCTAATATGTTTTAGAAAATACTACAAATGGCGCAGTAAACGCTATCTGTAGCACGATGCTACATTTTAGGATTACGTATGCTACAGATGGCGTTTACTGCGCCATTTGTAGTATTTTCTAAAACGCACTGTTAAGACAGCAGGTAAAAGTTGGTCTGTATTCTATTGAAATGTCTGCGACGCGCTGATGAGATCCGAAAGGATCGAAATCGCGATCCGCGTCTGGCAGTTTCGACAGAATACAGACCACTTCGAATTATTCTATTCTAATATGTTTGTTGAAATGTAATTGCTTTTGTACTATTTAATAATAAGACCTATTTCATACAAATCTATTAAATTCGTTTTGTCATTTTTAAACATTTTATACCTGTGACCTTGCAGATAAGAAAGCTGCTGATTGTAGATAAGTACTTAATGAATACTTCAAGTACTTTTTTCCGCCTTTTCGCAATAGCAAAAAAAAATAAATAAAAAGTTGTATTTGCGTCAAAAGTAACATTTACCATTTAATTCAGAATCTCAACATATGTTTCAGAAATTGCCCATTATTACCACAATAATTTTTCGGTGAGAAAATATTTTATATTCAGTTCCTTTCTGTGCTTTTGTTTTTTTTATGAACTTTGACTTTAAATTTTCTATTATTATAGACTAGCACTTACAATATCAGTACATCCATATTCATAAAAAATTGAATAATTTTAGTTTTATTGGTGTTTTACGATTGATGAATTCGGTTAATAACCAAAAAGAAAGAATAATACTTTCTTTAAAAACTAGCTAATAATACTAGGGACAAGTAATTCCTCGGACATGCTGGTGCAAAATTAGAAGATATGGTTGAAGGCCTTCTTTGGTCTACCTCATTTAGGGACCGTGAGAATTCATGAGAGGAGATTGGAGAGAGTCAGATAATATCGGCAAAATGAAGACAGAAGAGATCTGACCTCAACAGTCTAAATAACCACGAAAATATCCACCAGAGTAAGTGGATCGGGATTTTAGTGGTATTTTCCGGAATGCAAAGCTATGCTGTGGATTAAAAGGCTAAAAAATCATCGGTCACTACTTTTGGTGAACAAGCAGTCTCTTCGATCAACGCTAATACAAAGGATGTGAAATATTACCTGTGGAATATTCCTATCCCAGCATTTGCGTTAATGACTTCAGTAAGTTTGGATCACAACACGAGTAGAGAGAACCGAACCAATGCTAAGCAATATTAGACCATGTCAAATTTAAGAAGAAATGGGCGGCATGGTTTATTGGTGGTCCAACCAATTAACTATGCACAACACAATTTTTCTTGTCTATTGCTGATTTCATGTATCTACAGTGGAATTCGTTTATTATGACTAACCGCTTAATATGAAGTAATTGCAGTATTAAGTTTGGTTTTCATATTAAATTCTCTATAGAAAAGTTTGGATATAACGACTCCGTTTATTATGACTGGTTCTTAAGAAATCATATCCGGCTATGGTGACCCAAATGATTGATAATAACATTTTCGGTCATTTTTCTAGCCCTTCTTATGTATATTGATATTACAATTCATCGTTCTTTTTGTTTTCATCAAAATGGAATAATAAATAAAATTATTTTCTAAGAGAATGCTTTTTATGACGCCCGCTTAGTCATTTCCCTTCGTTGTCATTATAAGCGGATTCGATTGTATTAGACAAAGTTTTGCCGAGTATACAGAATAGGCAACGTGTACGATGTAACATATATAGAAGGATATGTTTTTCCAAATAGCGAGATGCCATCATTTTTATTATCTACTTGTTGTTTATAATAAACGAATATTTACAAAGCGTAGTAACAATAAAGAGCTACACGAATTCGATTCTTCGGAAATTACGTCTTAACGATAACTTTTTAAAGCGTAAATAAAGATTAATAATGAAATACTACGTGACAGCTTTTCTTAGGTTGTGGTTTAATGGAACCCTAGATAATCCCAAAAGTTGACCATAACCTCTTCAATATTGTTTCAACTTGTCTATTCTCCAATGATAGTAAGGCTGCCTTTATTTTTATTATGTAAAGAAATGTTAATTTGTCCCATATTGACAATTGACTTGTTTGTACATATACAGCTGAACTATAGGGTTGTTCGGAAAGTCATTTCGTTTTTTCCCGACAGAGGATTTAATTGTATTCTTTTGCACCCAACTTCACATTTAAGTCGTATAATTTTTATATGCTTTAAGAGCTCATATAGCAAAGCTTGTGTGTGAAAAATTAATTCTACGCAGTAGTTTTTGGTTGGTGGCCTTTTAAATATGGAGAGCGATAAGCAGCATTTTCGACATATCTTACTGTTTTACTACAGAAAGGGTAAAAATGCTGTTCAAGCCAGAAAGAAATTGACTGATGTGTATGGAGAAGTTGTGTTGACAGTACGCCAGTGCCAGAACTGGTTCGCTAAATTTCGATCCGGCAATTTTGATGTCGAAGATGCACCACGTTCGGGAAGGCCGGTTGAAGCTGATAAAGACGCGATAAAGGCATTAGTTGATGTGAACCGGCGAATAACAACACGTGAGATCGGATTGAGGTTAAATTTATCAAATTCAACAGTTTATGACCACTTGAAAGGCCTGGGAATATCCTCGAAGCTCGATGTATGGGTTCCCCATGTTCTCACATAGAGAAATCTGTGTTGCCGCATTGACGTCTGCGATTTGCTACTCAAACGTCACGAAAATGATCCGTTTTTGAAGCGCATCATCACTGGGGACGAAAGATGGGTTGTATACAACAACGTCAAACGCAAGAGGTCATGGAGCAAAAAAGATGAACCGGCTCAAACCATTTCCAAAGCCGATATTCACCAAAAAAAGGTGATGCTGTCTGTTTGGTGGGATTTTAAAGGAATCGTTTTTTTTGAGCTTTTACCGGATAACACAACGATGAATTAGGAAGTCTACTGTCATCAGCTGGACAAACTGAATGATGCACTTCAACAGAAAAGGTCAGAACTAATCAACAGGAAAGGTGTAGTGTTTCACCAAGACAACGCGAGACCTCACACAAGTATGGTCACTCGGCAAAAGCTTTTACAGCTTGAATGGGATACAATGCTACACCCACCATATTCTCCAGACCTGGCACCATCGGATTATTATTTGCTCCGGTCACTCTAAAATTTTTTAGACGGTAAAACCTTCACCTCAAATGAGGAGGTCAAAAACCTCCTCGATCAGTTTTTTGCCAGCAAAGACCAAAAATTTTATGAGCGTGGAATTATGCTACTACCAGAAAGATGGCAAAAGGTGTTGGACCAGAACGGTCAATATATAATTTAATAAAGTATTTGTTTTTTATACGAAAACTGTCTTTCATTTCCACAAAAAAAAACGAAATGACTTTCCGAACAACCCTATATAAAGAGAGATGGCTCTTGACTTTTTCACTTGCGGCGTAGATGATATACAAGAACAACATTCGGCTAGAAAAGAACGTAGCTCACGCTCGGGAGAAATGTCAAAATGCACAAGGGATTGGACATTGAGAATACACTATTTGCTTCAATTTCATGTGTTTTTAGTTATCTACTATATTTATTTTGAAAATTACAGCCGATTTACTTTATGTACGTCGAGTTTTTAGCTCAAAGAAGAGTTGAACTTAAATGATTTACCTTAACACAGAATAGCCATCGTCCAATACGCATCTGTTGGCATTACAATCTGAGGGTTTACGTCTCGTTGGTTCAGAAGTACTTTTATTTATCATAACGTCACATTTCAAAATAATACTAGTGATAATAGTTTAGCAAATTTCCGGGTAGGGTACCTACTTGGGTAATATTTTGATTGAAACGTTTGCTCGTTTTGAAAGAAAGGCATGCCGACAATAAAACAATAGATACTTAAAAAGCGACATTATTGCTTTACTGATAAACTAATTAAATACTTGAAATATTGCTCGAACTCTGCAGTTGTGATTTAAGGTCAATATGGTATCTAGAGATGGTTTTTTCTGGATTTTTATCAGATCAATCAATGTACACACACTATCTTTTGTTATAAACATACTAAAAATAAATTGAGATGCATATCTCTATTGTGTTTTAGAGTACTTGGTAGATAATAACATTAAAGGTATTCAAAACAGGAAACAGAAAATTGTCTCAGTAGCGCAGTACTTAATTTTATTTACGAACTTGATACAAATTTAACACGAGCATACCTAGAATTCTTTAAAAATGCAACTTATGATTTACTTTTAATGAAATTATCTATCATCTTAGTAAAGCATGGTAAGGAGTTCACATATCACTGAGACCAAGACTTTAATTCAGAAGAAAATATGGATTAATAGTAAAGGAAGCGAATTTACGAATTACTGAAAAACAAATCATAATAAAGTACTTATTCACAATTGTTTAAGTATTTCTGGTAGGTTGTTGAGTGAAATCAAACACTTTGACAGTTTTCCGGGAGTTTATTCTACGTCCTCTTATTTCAAGTAATAATTCAAAACTATATAAAAATATGTTGTAATGTTAAACTCACAATCAAACTGATACCTTTCTTAAAAACAAACTGTCAGGCACTCTTATCTAAGAATTTGTCCTTATAATTTCCTATAAAGTTATGCGATATGCCTGAATTATTCCTAGAAAATAATTTAATTACAAGTTTTGTTTAAACATTTTATAATGTGAATTTTAATCATTTCCCACACCCTATTTGTAATGATCTAGTAATCTAATCTAGATCTACCTTTACTCGACTTAACTCATGTTTCTGCTTCTAATAGGTCTCTAACTAGCCCTTCATACGAAAGGTGTCATACCAGCTTATCTCGCCTATTTCTTATTGACTTTTATCATCGCCTTCTGTTCTCCTACTCTTTCTAATATCTACTTTTTTCTAACCTTCTCTATCATCCCCATCATTCGTCTGTAACACCATATTTCGAACGCTCCTAAACTTTTCCGATGAGCACACCGTTCACCCGTCCAAAACCGTGCTCCAAACGTATCTTTAATAATCCTTTTTGGAATTTCATTGTTTTATTGCACCTAAAATTGTAGACTATAAAATTAAATTTGCCATAACTAAACACATAACCAGTAAACATTATAAATAAACGTTTACATTTTTCAGCAACTGTAGATGTCTTTTTTTTTTGTTTTCGTGGAAGAGGGGAAATCTTCAAAAGACACCCAGCCGTCCGCACGACTAGGTAGTGTCGGATTCCCGAGGAAGGTGTCCTCGGACCTACCGACTAAAACCCCTCTACCTCAGGCCGTTATAGGATCAATTAAAGTTCTCTTCAGCCACAACTATAGATTGGTATTGTACCTATATCACTTTTTACAAAACAAAAAGGGAAAATACTGAGATTACTTTATTTTCCTCGTATCAAATGTTTAAAACCATACTTTTCATTATCTAAAGATGTTCAACTTTTTCTCATGTTCAACGTAGGCGTAGATGTTTTCTTACAATTTACTTTTCAACTTTTGGTCAATTTCAGAAATTATTCATTTTATGTAAATTTTTATGATGCAAAGTTGGAAAGAACCAATAATAAAGGCCCCTTTTTAGTCATGCAACCTGTTTTCATGACAATACATATAAAATTGCTGATCTGGCACAGTTCTCATGGAAAACGGTCCCGATAAGATTATAAGCCCTAGAAATATGTTTCGTTAAGTAGGTATGCATTTATTGTTTATTTTAAAAATCAATCTTTAATTAAATTAAATCTTTAATATGTGCTTGAGCTAACAACAGCCTTTGTTTCATTTATCGATTTCCTTTTCGTACATTTTGTTTTTAAATAAACATAGTATAAGATGTGACAATAACAGATGCAGTCATCGCGTATATGTGAAATCTGTGACTTTTATCCAAAGCATTCAAAAATCGGAAAAAGACAGTCCGTGAAATAGTACATGAAGCGCAAAGATCAATATTCACACTAAAGATCTAAAAGAAGCACATGCAGAATCCGATTTTAGTAAAAAAAATAAAATTGATCAATAATAACGAGGACACAACTGATCAACCCACCTTGGTACATCAACAAAGGGCCCAGGCAAACTTGGTCTCCATACGTAAGCAACAAGGATCCAACCAATGGTTTCGAGGTTCGTCATGTTTCGCAACCGCTGGTGTTCAGTGGGACACAACTACCTACCCAAAACCAAGGGGCAACCCTACAAACAAGTGAGGTCTCCTAAGAAAAACCAGGAAAGCAATCCTGCAAGCAAATGAGGTCTTATCAACACATTGAAATAACGATCACACGCAACAGTCACCGAATTTCAAAAAGTTACTCTACTTAATGGGCAGGGTCTCTCAACTTACAGTAAGTGAAAATTTTGTGTATTGATCAAGATAGAAGAAAACAAAAAGAAAATTGAATTTTGCAAACACATTTAAATTATTAATTAAAACGTCAAATTGCAATTAAATAAATGAAGATAACGATTCATTTTTAGACATGGTATCCCGAAGTATTTTTAGGTGTTATGAGAGAAGAGTTAGAAAGTGTTAATTTTTATTACAGCAAGTTTGTTAACACGACTAACGAAAAAACTGGAATGATGGAGTACACTTAGATAATAATATTGTTAAGACTTGGATATTTTTATTAGGTTATATTTATTTTAAAATTTCCTATTTCTATAATTTAATTTCATTCTAATTCTTTTTCGTAGAATGTAAGTTGTATTGTATTCATATTAAAACCTTCTATCGGTATAGATACCAAAATCACTATCATTCAGGTAAGTGGATTTTGCCAAAAGGTAGTTGTACATTTATCTGACCCTGTTGCTACAGACATTTGCACCCTCTATGCTAAAGTGAGCTATTCTCGCCCGCTTAAATATGCATATTTTAACCAAAAACATACATTCACATTCCAGCGGTTGAATCATTAACACATTATTTGTATTCAATCAACTTTATCATTTTTTGCATTTCAATTTAATAATCTTATACAATTTTGTATTTATTTAGTGTTAAGATTGTAAACAAAGTTTTCACTGTTGCGTTCGAATTTTTATTTATGAGCTACGAAAACAAAAAAGTGTTCGGTGCCATTTTGCTAACCGCAATTCACCAACAGCACCGATTAAGTCAAAACAAAGGTATATAATAGAAATAACAGATAGATATAAATATATACCTTTAAAGCATTATGTTTCATATGAACAAGGTGCATATATATTTAGCTATTCTGTACCTACATATGAATTTTACAAACTAAATATTTTTATTCTCCTAACTCCCGTTTCTGCCTCTGATATGTCCCTAACTAAGACCTTCATGCCTGAGAAGGTGTCCTACCAACCTATCTCGCCTATTTCTTATTGACTTCCATAGAGTCCTCTATTCTCCTATTCTTTCTAATACCTCTTCATTTCTAACCTCTATCCACCGTATCTACCGTACCTACCGCAAAGTAGGGAAGAAGCGAATATAAAGATAGGAGACGAAAAATTAGAAGAAGTGGCTGATTTTAGACATCTAGGAAGTCAGATAAGTCAGGACGAAAGGAATTGTAGGGATATAAAGCAAAGGATAGCGCAGGGTCGTGTCGCCTTCAATAAAAAGAAGTCACTTTTATGCTCGCAAACGGATAATTTAGAAATTCGAAATAGATTGTCAAAGGTGTTTGTTAGGAGCACGGCGTTGTACGGATGCGAAACATGGACAGCAGTGAGCGCGGCGGGAAATAATAAATTAGAAGCGTTCGAAATGTGGTGTTATAAGCGAATGATGACGATAACTTTGATAGAAAATGTTAGAAATGAAGAGGTATTAGAAAGAATAGGAGAACAGAGGACTCTATGGAAGTCAATTAAAAATAGGCGAGATGGGTTGGTAGGACATCTTCTCAGACATGAAGGTCTAGTCAGAGACACATTAGAAGCAGAAACAAAAGTTAGGAGCGGTAGAGGTAGACCTATATTATATTACTGTTCGCAAATAGTTAAGGATGTGAGTTGTTCTGGTTTTAGGGAAATGCGAAGTTCAGCTCAGGATAGGAAAGAGTGGAGGTACGTGTCCAATCAATCTTAAGACTGACGACCTTATGATGATTTTCCACAGTATCCTCATCATTCGCCTATAACACCACATTTCGAACGCTTCTAACCTTTTTTTCCCGCCGCGCTCACTGTCTATGTTTCGCACCCGTACAGCGCCGCGTTCCAAATATACACCTTTAACAACCTTTCTCGAATTTCTAAATTAACCATTCGCGAGCATAGAAGTGACTTGAATTTAACACGTTTTCTTAGTACTTTAAAGCTCTATTTGAATATTTTGTGGCCAATTTTTCTGTTTTTGTTTTTTCTTCTTTTAGTAGGCATTTCGGTGTATTTCTATCTAATTTTAAAATTCAACTTATGGATCTATCTTGAATGCGTTCAATTTCATTGCTTTCTTCCTAATCCTATGTACTATAATATGCGCTCTCCACCAATGTCTCGAATAAAAACATTATTTTTTTGCAACCCTCTTTGATATTTAAAGATTCATCACAACAGATACGGATGTACATGTTTTTTTTTTCTATTATTGTTTTACTTTCTGTGTATGTTTTAAGCAAATTTTAATTTTTGTTTTGTGCTTATAAAATTCATTTGACACTTTGGCTACTCTTCTAAATTGTATATATCAAGAATAACCCTTTAAGAAGGTTCAAAAATTGATTTTTCTTTTGAAATAAAACACTTGAAAAATAACTTTCACTAAATATATTTATATTGAATCTTGACTAATTCGTTTCAACCTACAAGGTCATCTTCGGAAGAAGGTATTATTAAGAGGTAAGAAAAATCAATATGATCAACTTTCATATAGTAAAGGCCAACTACAAAGAATTTTTCAAGGTTCAAAAAGTCTCATTTCTCTAGAAACGACTGATATGGGACCTTAATGTTATACAGACCATAGTCACAGACCTCACTATTAATTCCACTTTTCATATATTTATATTTTATGCTATCATTAAATTTAGTTACATATTCCGTTTCATAGATAAGGAGGCGTCGTTTCCAAATGTTGTCTGCACTTAAAATTTCCTTTGTTTCACCACTGTCAGTTGGAGTGTACCATCTTGGTACTCAAAAATGCCAGATTTTTGTTTTGATTAAAGTTCGAGTAGCAGCCGTTTCGCATTTTATCTTAAAGGCGGCATTTTTTCAATAAAAGTTGAAAGTTGATAGTCGAACCGGTAACGGTTCACTTTATGATAGTAACGAAGACCGTTATCAAATGTAATCTCAAAGGAGCACAAAAATGTACATGCGTCATAGAATACTTCGTAAGAATCGTAGTATTAAATATCATAAATGTTGTCAGCAAAATTATGTAGAATCGTACTAATTATTCAAGAGTTTCGTAAAATCTGGAGCTTTGAATAGTCGCAGGACTGATCAAATTTCTATAGGGTTGTTCGGAAAGTCATTTCGTTTTTTTTTTGTGGAAATGAAAGACAGTTTTCGTATAATTAACAAATACTTTATTAAATTATATATTGACCGTTCTGGTCCAACACCTTTTGCCATCTTTCTGGTAGTAGCATAATTCCACGCTCATAAAATTTTTGGTCTTTGCTGGCAAAAAACTGATCGAGGAGGTTTTTGACCTCCTCATTTGAGGTGAAGGTTTTACCGTCTAAAAAATTTTGGAGTGACCGGAACAAATAATAATCCGATGGTGCCAGGTCTGGAGAATATGGTGGGTGTAGCATTGTATCCCATTCAAGCTGTAAAAGCTTTTGGCGAGTGACCAAACTTGTGTGAGGTCTCGCGTTGTCTTGGTGAAACACTACACCTTTCCTGTTGATTAGTTCTGACCTTTTCTGTTGAAGTGCATCATTCAGTTTGTCCAGCTGATGACAGTAGACTTCCGAATTAATCGTTGTGTTATCCGGTAAAAGCTAAAAAAAAACGATTCCTTTAAAATCCCACCAAACAGACAGCATCACCTTTTTTTGGTGAATATCGGCTTTGGAAATGGTTTGAGCCGGTTCATCTTTTTTGCTCCATGACCTCTTGCGTTTGACGTTGTTGTATACAACCCATTTTTCGTCCCCAGTGATGATGCGCTTCAAAAACGGATCATTTTCGTGACGTTTGAGAAGCGAATCGCAGACGTCAATGCGGCGACACAGATTTCTCTCTGTGAGAACATGGGGAACCCATACATCGAGCTTCGAGGATAATCCCAGGCCTTTCAAGTGGTCATAAACTGTTGAATTTGATAAATTTAACCTCAATCCGATCTCACGTGTTGTTATTCGCCGGTTCACATCAACTAATGCCTTTATCGCGTCTTTATCAGCTTCAACCGGCCTTCCCGAACGTGGTGCATCTTCGACATCAAAATTGCCGGATCGAAATTTAGCGAACCAGTTCTGGCACTGGCGTACTGTCAACACACCTTCTCCATACACATCAGTCAATTTGTTTCTGGCTTGAACAGCATTTTTACCCTTTCTGTAGTAAAACAGTAAGATATGTCGAAAATATTGCTTTACGCTCTCCATATTTAAAAGGGCACCAACCAAAAACTACTGTGTATAATTAATTGGAATTTTTCACACACAAGCCTTGCTATATGAGCTCTCAAAGCATATAAAAATTATACGACTTAAATGTGAAGTTGAGTGTAAAAGAATACAATTAAATCCTCTGTCGGGAAAAAACGAAATGACTTTCCGAACAACCCGATAGAATATAATGACTTTTCCATCGGATATAGCAAACCAGGTGGACAATCAGTATAATTGTCCAGAAACTCCGACGAGAAAAGAGATATCTGAGTATGAACGAAGCAGCAGATAAACAAATGATTGATGCGAAATAATATTATAAAATATATTTATTTTTCGTAATTTTAGAATAAAAGGGAGATCATGTTACTGTTAAAAAAGTATAATAAAGATGGCTTCTAGTTTTAGTAGTTCACCCACTATTCGGGAGAGTCTCCAGGACTACCAAACATAATATTCACTGGCAACCTGAGTGCTTTCCCAAACAAAATGCTGCGTTCTTTCAGTTGTCTCATGAATGGCGGATTTATACGTTAATTGGAATAATGATGTGTGTCGGTCTCAGTCAGTTTGGTGCTCGTTGATGAAGCGCTTTAAATTGGTCTCAAGAGTAACATTAAAACGTTTAACCATTCCATCATACTATAGATACAAGGGTGTAGTTCACGTTTTAGTAATGTTCATTAGTTCGGTGATCTCCTTAAACAAAGCTGACTCGAAGTTTCTGCCTTAATCCGGTCATTGATAAGTTATACAGCAGCGGTGGGTTCTTCCTCATTTGGTATCGCATTTGCTTCGGGTCAGTAGCTAAGGTAGTCCATGACTACCAAAATGTACCGTGTACCGGAGTCTTTCACAGGAAATGATCCTGTAATTATCCCAAATTCCGCTCAGTCTTTCACATCGCTCGCATACCTTTCCTAGAGTCTTCGTAACGCCGAAATATCCTTCGCCAGGGATTGTTTCTGAGATTCCTGAAACTCTGTTCTTCAGAAGTACCATTTGAAGTTTGCTTCTGGTTCCATCTACATTTTCTCGTATTCTTTTCAACAAGCCATAGTCCAAGGTAAGGAAAGTCCACTGTCATTGTATGACTTATGTGGCTCACATCTGCCCATGATGGTCTTAGATTTTAACAGATTTGCCTCTTCTCCGCAGATAAACAGTCTTTGCAGTTTTCCACGCAAGGTTTGTATGGGCGATGCTCGTTGTCGAACTCGAATTCTGAAGTTGTCGTAGCCATCGTGCCATTTGTCTTCCATGGTTCTCGATGTGCAGTAGCCACTTCAGCGATGCATGATCCGTTCTTAATGGGAACTTCCATCCATACAGGTATTTGTGGAATTTTAACCACAGCCAGTAGGTTTCGACGGGTGTTATATTAATTACATTCTTGTTTGAAGAGTATTTTACTAATGTTCTCGATGACGTTATCCTTTCTGTTTTGTATTTGGGATAACACACCACCAAGCCCCATTTTACTAG